TGTCTTTTGCGTTTTGCTTCACGCTTGTCCCTGTGTCCTGTCATCATGTCTGTTTCGCCTTCAGCAAGGCTAGGCTTTAGTGCAAGGCTAAGGCTTGCGTCATAAGAAGTGTTGGGGTGCATTCCTCGACCTGTTGATGTATTTCTTCGATCTCTTGTACATGCTCATCGATTGGCGCTTGCCACTCTGGCGCTGATGTTAATAGTACATTGGCGTGCGGCGTGTTGAGCACTTTGCTTTGCTGTGTGACCCGTGCCCAGCCTTCTGTGTTTACTATGTAGTCAAGCCTACTCTTTTTCAGGCCTTCTACTATATTTTTTGATATATGAAGCTCGCTCACCCTGCCTGTTCCAGGTCCTCAGCGTTTGGGAGTATATACCTCAAAGATGGCAGCGCGTCTTGCTTCTTCATAGGGTTTTGTTGCTGGGCCTTGTATTCTGTCTTGAACACACCTGTGAGGCTTACAAAGATGGCATCAGGCCTGTCAATCTTGATACCGGCGCATTGGTGGCGAGTCCTCTGCATTGGGGCATGCGTGTCCTCATCGTCCTCATTGTCTTGTTGTTACGCTGCGCCCTTTTGTCAACTGGTTGATGTGTTTGTTGTAGGATAACGTCCACCATCATCGGCGTGCCGTGCATTGGTAAGCCTGGTAAGCTGTCGTTTAGCGTGCCACCTTCCCAGTATACACATCTGTGATGATCATCTTGGCACATTCTCGTCGTCTCAGGCACTGGCTCTTTGCACTGCTTCATGCGCGATAAGTCCTGACACCCTGGCAGCCTGCAGAACATAGCTCAGGGTCCTTTGGAAAGTATCTATTTTTGTGGTGTAGAGAGTGGGTGCGCCAAAACGAAGCGGGTTGAGATCGACCATGATGTGTGCGCATCTGTTGTCGGTCATGGGGACTCTAGGTGGCTGCGTTCTTGTATCATCGAGGATGTTACAGTGCCACATCATGCATCATGAGGTAGTTGCTGCCCGATATCTGAACGACCTTATTTTGCTATTGCTTTTAGCAAGTGTTTTGGACTTGTTGCAGCTCCTACCAATCCATTTGCATTGAATTCTCCATTCACATTGTAAATAACAAACCTTTACAGTCAGGCCACTCAGCGTGCTTGCTGCGAGCACTATCCCTATAGTGCTTCTTTCACTGGAATCTCTCAACCCGGCGGAGTGGGTTGTCTCTTGATCGATTCTAGGCCCTGCTGTCTCAGCTGCCCTTTGGGTGCTTCTCCAAGTTCCCTGTTGCTGGGCATCTCTTCTCCCTCGTTCAAGACCTTCGTCCACGTCGATAGGTTCTTAGAAGAATGCTTCCCACTTTTGCTGGGCCTTGTTCTCCTTTTTCCAGTCCCTTAAGCAGGCTCACGACTTGCTGAATTGCTTCTAGCCACTGTTGTTTCTTGTTCAACATCAGATTGAAGGCCTCCTTTCGTTGTGTTGGTTGTGCCTTCGTTTGTGATTGGAATCTCGCTGTTAGCAGGTTTGAAAACTCATCCCACTCTTGATTGCATCTTCCTCGCTCTTTCTTCGCACGCTTCGTCTTGTCGATCTTCGTAACGTGTGCTTGTTTGATTTGCGGTTCTGCACCTTGCTGTACCGCCTTGTCCAGCGCTTGCTTGACATCTTCTGTCAGTCAATTGCGCGCCGAGTGTTTCTGTGATCAGATCCACCTGCTTCTTCATCTCCTGCTTCTTGCATCGATCTTGTTTTTCCTTTCTTCGTCCCCTGAAACCACCTTTGGTGCGTGGATTGGGATTGTGGTGTCGATGTCTGCGAGGGTGTAAGCATCTTGCCTGTCGCTCATGTGTGCATCCTCTGTGGTCTCTGAAAAGGCCCTTATTCGATCGATTCGTGGTGTGTCTTTTGGCCTCTTCTCTTGGCCGTGCCCTCCTTGCGAGGACTTCCTCCTTTGGTGCTTCGGATTGCCCGCGCCAAATGGCTTCAGCCTTGTGGACCCAGGTGGATTGGCTGCAGAGTGTGATTGCTTCTTGGAGTATTCTTAGAACGCGTGCCGTGGTGGCTTTGGTTCGGCCTTCAGGGGTCTTGGGGGGTATCCAGAAACACTCTCTCAGAGCCTTTGGCTAGAAATAGATCAAAGCTTGAGGATTTGAGAGCCGAGCAAGCGCCTTGAAAAAGAAAGTAGAGAATTGAGGCAGTGGAACTATTTGGACTACTTCTTTTACGGCGTTTTCATAGAAGGTCCCCTTGCAGTGAAGGACGTGAAGACCTTTAGCAGAGACGCCGCCCAGGATCATCAGCGAGGTCAGAGCTATATGTATGAAGGGCATCGATTGATTTAACAGCCCTTGCAAGCTCACCAAGCACATCCCCATCTTGAGGCGCGACGAAACTTTATCAGAAGCCCTAATGCTAAGGTAGCTGCTGTGACGCATGTCCACCCACGAATTTGAAGACGATGTGAGATCACACGCAAATTGTTGGATGAGAGCGCTCCTATGGAAGTCGGCCTGATCCACAAGGGCAATGAAGGACGGAAGGGAGGAAAACGAAAAGGACATGAGAAAGGAAAGCCGAAGGGCAAGGAGAAAGTGGGGAAGGGCGACGGCAAAGGAGGATGGAGAGGGAAAAAGAGCCGGACAGTGTGTGGGGACTGGACTAAAATCATCCGAATCAGGAGGGCCCCGAGATCGAGTATACAAATCAATGATCGAGATCGATGTTCGAAGTCTACAAGCAGATAGAGACATATTGAGGAAGTGCAGAGGAGGAGCTCAAACAATGCTTCAGTTGCAAGATTGACTGAGACCGGGTTCCAAAAGAAGAAAAGTTCGAGGGGATGGTGATCAGGACAGGGGAGAGTAAGAGAAAGGAGGAGGTTTGCATCTGCCTCTATGGACAGTGTGGGGCTGATGTTCTCATGCTACCGAAGTCGTTCACCAGCGTAATTAAGGAGGAAGCCAAAAACACTTGAAGACGATTGACGCGTGAGGACAGGTGATCGACCACGCGAAGGACAGTGGATGGATGTGGATGGCAAGACTGTGGAGGTAGTGAAGATTTCCAATCCTGTGTGGAGGAAAGAGCCACCACCCGGAACGAGCAAGATGGCAAGGAACTTTTTGCTGTTCTATGCAAGGATGTGTATGGTGGAGATGTAAGGAGGATGAGAAGAAAGAAGTTGAGGAGAAAGAGGAGGTTGGGTGTTGGCGTTAAAAGGTGTTCTCAAACCTCAAGACCCATCTCAAGATGCACGTTTACCTGTCAGACGCAGAAAGCGCAGCAAGAGAGATCCTGAGGACGACCCAGCAGGTGTATTGAGACTAAGATCAGCATGGTCAGCGTGGCGCTAGATCGACAGCGTGCGCCAAATACCTTGCAGAGCGCGCGTCTCAAAACGAAAAACCGAATCCTAACAAGCTTTGCAGAAGACTCGAAGGTGGCGCGAACAAGACCTCATACAAACACATGTGGCAACTGGTAACCAAATTGAGGCGCCGATGAAAAAAGATTTGGAGCGGCAGCTCCAGGTATGGGAGGATTGAAGATGCCAGCTCATGAATATCTACCAAACCCAAAATCAACCGGTATGAAGAGAATAAACTAAGACGGTGAGATGAAAGAGGAGAAGCGCCAGAGCCTTGAGGAAAGGAGAGCGGAGGCTGAGAGTGAGAGGATGGCGGGGCTAGAAAACAGAGGTTGCGGATGAGAGAAGTGTGGATGCGGGTGTGGAGACAGAGTCTGACAGAGAAAACCCCACGGCTGTCTGGGGGCCGAAGCTAACACCGAGCAAAGTGAGGCAGAAGGGGCCCCGCATTTTGCAAGCAAATGGTGGCCAGGCTAGAAGAAGTGAGGAGATGGATCAAACTTCCGGCCCTAGATCATTCGTGGAATCCCAAAAATTCTCTGGCCCCGTAGATGTTTGTCAGGTCAAAGGACAGCAGCCGCACAGTGGTTTTAGCTGTTCCAACATGTGCAAAAAGATTGGTGTGGAGGTAGGTTTGATGCAGCTAACATTGCAGCAGCTTGATGAACAACGGCTTCTCAGAGTGCGCGTGCGACGTGATGTTGGCTGGGCCGGAAGAGACGGTGCGACGCGGTGTGCCGACTCATTGAGCCCCTCAAGGACAAGATGAGCCGGAACGTCAAGGAGAGAGGACCTTTTGGAGAAGGAGAAGGTTTCAGCTATGAGTTTCGACTTGACAAAGGTTGCGACATCAGATGCGATGGCGAGCACTATGAAGCTTTGCGCGACCAAACCAATAGAATAATTACTCCGCAATAGAATCAATGCACTGGAACGATCATTGCTTGCAATCAACTGGGTCTCGAGCCTAGCAGTCACCTGTGGGTTGAGAAACGTCGCCAAATATCAATATCTCCTGAACGTGGTCATTCCCAGCTTGACAAAACACAAGACAGGAGAGGAGAGAACACAGAAGTCAACGCCGGCCATGTCATGCGGGAGTCAGAAGCTGATATATAAGGCAGGCGCGGAACAGATAGAGAAGTCAGTTTGATCGACCGAAATATACCTGACAGACATGTGTGGGACTTGTTCACAAACCTCAAACCTCCCTAGGCCTGAAATCATCTGAAACCCTTACATTGGCTAGGTTTTTTACAAAGCAGTTGCCGTAAATGCCAAACATATGGGTCACCTACATCACTCCATGGGTATTCACTTCAAGGACAAATCCATGCAGGCAACAAAATCGAGACTGTAGCAAGAATACTTCCTTGGACGAACCTCTTTGTTGGGTATGCAGAGAGTCTGTCGCGCGTATCACAAAAAACAATGAAACCTAAGAGCAATGGCCTCCACCCTGGTAGTAGCGATGTCCTGCAAGCTAAGAGCGATGGCCTCCTATCACGAACATAATGCTTGCAACAGAGGGCGCTGGTGCTTTGTAGGCCTGCTTGTATCTCCCTGTCCGGGAGGTTTACAAAGTGTTCAGTGCTCCACATGACTCGCCTCCCAAACCGATCTGACTTTGAGAAGACACCGATCTGTGCCTGTCCGCCGTCCTTTTGGGCGCTAAGTGAGTTAGGTAGTCCGACCAGGTGCAGCGTACGTTCGCTGCGCAGACCCGACCCGTAGCGAGCGTGGCAGTGCAGCCACCGCGGCGCCATGACGACAGCACACAGACCGACATGGTGGGGGCCTTTGCAGTCTTGAAGTTTTCGCACAGAACTACTAGTAACAAGAAGCTAGTAGGGGCTCCTGGCATCGCTACTAGGAGCACGGACGCCACAAGGGGCTCCTGGCATCGCTTCTGACAGCTTTCGACATGTTGGAGGCCATCGTTAGTAGGTGGGAGGCCATCACTACTAAGGTTCCTTTTGCTATTAAAACATTTTTCATTTGATTCCTTGTTGAGGAATGCGGCGATCGCCAGCAATAGCAACCCGGGTCCTCGGCTCGGCTCGGCAGCAAGTGCCCGTGTTCGGTAGGACCTTGTTCGGTCTTGGAACTCCCTTCTATGATTTCTCTAGTACAAGAAACGCCAAGTTATGCCGAGTTATGCCCGAATCTTTGGATTCAGTAAAGAACACATGCTTGACATGCTTGCTGTAGGTCTCAGACTTAATGCACTAAGAATGCTTGTTGCAAAGAAGGAAGGAGAGAGATTGAATCGCCTGTGTGGATTGGAGACGTTGCTGAGGGGGCAACATGATGGTTGCTCAGACGACGAAGGTCAGGATCCACAGACGCATTGCTTCACATCGGACACTCCAAGACACATCGGAACCTAGTAGCGATGGCCTCCACCCTAATTACTAGCGACACAGAGAACGACTTTGGAAGAGATCATTTTGCGTTTGCACGAACTGTTCGATGAAGCCTGCCAGATCAACAATCGCGATGCTGCAACATTCAAGAAGATGAAGTTCAGACAGGACTGTCCGTGACAGTGGATTCCATGGCGATCCATTGTTCCTCATTGTGCAGCATTAAGGGGACAAGGCCTTGCACTTGACTACCCCTCACCCTCACTACTGACAAGATGGCTACTAGGCCTTAGTTCTTTTTGGATTACTTGTATAACTTACTTGCAAGGCAAAGAATGTGCTTTTGGTTCTAAGAACAAGAGCACACAACAATTTCCATTTTGCAAAGAACATGAGAGTTGGAAGTTCTGTCTATGTCTATGTCAAGACGCAGGTCATCCGCTTCCGTCTCAGGCTGGTCAAGGTCTTCTCGAGGAGCGAGCTTCCAGAGCAGACATGACGGAGGTGTGGGACGGGTGGCAGACTTTCACGGTGGGGGACAGTGATAGCAATGGCCTCCAACCTACTGTACTCCCATGTGTGGGCAGTTTTGTGACCGTTTCAATCGAGTCAATGAAAGTCACTACTGTGAGTGTAGGCCAAGTTTTGGTCAGGACCTTGAGAGAAGAGAAAGGGCTGCCAAAGACGAGCGAGAAGGAAAAGTGAAGGAGCTTGCACCAAACCCCGACTCCAGGCGACCATGCTTGTAAGCAAGCAAGATGAAGTCATACATGCCTAAATTCACTGACATTTTATTCCGGTGATAGATGTCAAGTTCAATTTCTTTTGTACCAAACCATTTCCAGGTGCTTTTGACCTTCCACACTCCTTCGCTAGTCTAAATGCTAGGCAACTTCTGCACCAGTTCAGATATACGAGCCTCGCTTGGACCTGGTCCCTGCGCAGCTCATTTACGCCCTAGCAGCACGTGGGTCTCATGCAAGGAAGGGAAAATAGGGGTCTCTACCCACACAGTTAATTGTATTGTATCACACACTGGTTTGCCAGGTGGTGTGAATGTGCTGAGATTTTACCGTTCGGCTGCAGTCGATAGCGTGCTTCGTTTCTCCAGGAGAAAAAGAAACCGTCTTTGGAGGACAATCCATTTCCCGAGGCGCGTGGTTTCTCCAGTCCATAGCACCAGACAAGCAACTTTGAAACGACCAAGGGTCGGGTCGGGTTTGCAAAGAGTTTTTGCATCTTTCCTCAATGAACAATTGCAGAATGAGACTGACTGCAAAGATAGATGTTCTTAGTACTTCAGGATGCTGATGAAGAGCTACTGAGCGAGGAGGAGACTATGTTCATCTATGGACATACTCAAGAATTTGTGTTTTCTTTCAAGCCGGAATCTGCGTGTGGTATTAACTGCTTTCACACAGGTGCGTTGGGATGGAGGATTTTGAGTTGTTGGAGGCCATCGCTATTAGGTTGGAGGCCATTGCTTCTAGCTTGGAGGCCATCGCTGTCCCCTTCTCCTCTTTTCTCCTTGCTCTCCACCCTCATTGTCCCCCCATTTCTGTTAGTCAGGTGGCCTTGCTTCTGAAGGCTTGTCTCTCGCCAGCTTGTCTCCCTTGATACTCCGTATGTTCCCCAAGCGGGTTCACCTACATGGGGTTTAACTCCTTTAAAGGGCGGTTGTCTTTGGCCGAATCTATTTTCTTGTTTCCACTTATTATTGCAAGAATTTGCCTGCGTTAAGGATTGCACTCTTTAGTTGCACTTTTGTATGTTTTTCCGCGCTGGCGTAATGCCAGGAGAAGATGGACGAGGAGGAGAGCGTGGAACTCGGCCACTCCCATCTTAGGTTGACTGGTGTGGCTGAAACCATGGTCGGTCTATGCTTGTCCCAATATTGAGCAAGCTCCCAGTAGCCTCCTGAGATGACGATGACGACGACGATGATGATGCAGAAGATTCCTGGCAGAATTGGCCCAGGAAGACAGTTTTTCCTCACTTCGAGTTTGCTAGGAACTGCTGCGTGAACTTGCAAAGATCAAGAAGGAGAGAGAGGAGGAGGAAGAGGCTAAGAAGGCGATATATCTTTCGCTTCTGGCCAAAAGGGATGGACCGACACTGGCGAGGCACTACAAGCCAAGCAGGACAGAAGAGCTCAAAGGGCCTGAAACTGAGCCAACGGAAAGCTTGCCGAAGGTCGGTGACCGGAAGTCTCGGAGAGTGTTTTTCTTCGGTGTTTGTCGTGCCTGTCGTTTCCTGCTATTGCAATGTTAGGTGCGAAACAGAGGGGGAATTCTCTGCAATGTTTTGAGAAAATTCTGATGCTCTGAGTAACGAATCCGGCCATTAATCCTAAACGCTTGGTTCCAGTCGCTTAATTAAAGAGGTTTGTCATCCGCTTGAAATCCGGACCTTTGTGCAACCTCATTTGGTAAGGGGTAGCCGGACAATCCCTCAACATCAAGAAATTTGCATGGCACATACGGTGCAGGCTATCAAGATGCATAAAAGCTGCATATTGTAAGATAACCTGGAAAATCCAGCTCCTGCACAATCTTGATCCTCGTAGCTTCTTGTTACTAGTAGCGATGGCCTCCACCCGACTAGTGATGGCCTCCACCCTACTAGTCCCACTAGCAATGGTCTCCAACCTAGTAGCAATGGCCTCCACCCTACTAGCGATGGCCTCCACCCGACTAGCGTTGACCTCCACCCTACTAGCGATGGCCTCCACCTTACTAGCGATGGCACCTCGACCCTACTAGCGATGGCCTCCAACCTACCAGCGATGGCCTCCAACCTACCGATGGCTTTCTTCCTAATAGCGAGGGGCTTTGCGTTCTTTTTACATGCGTTTCTAAAGTTTTCCTTTTTTGGAGTGAGGTCAGTCATGTTAAGTCCAAAAGCTTTGAATCGACGATTGTTCATCGGTTCCCGTTTCGCACGTCGAAACAACCGGTCTTCCATGCAGCCTGTTGTCCTTTTTTGTTTGTACTTTCTCTCTCTCTCTCTCTGTCACTTGTTCATCAATTTTGGTTATTCTTGTTTGTTTTCTGAGGAAGAGGTGATGAAAGGGAACCCTCTCCTAGCAGACGGTGCAGATGTATCGCTCAAGAGGAGGGGGTGACGTTGAACCAGTCGAACCTTTGGTTCTTTTTTTCAGAACTTTGCGGGGTCAAAAAGGTCTCACAACATAGAAAATGAAGGAGAAGAAACCTACTCTATAAAGGTCTAAATCAGAGGAACAAACAATGAATAGAACACCATAACAAGAAAATACATTGATTGAACACATGGTCCCTTTCTACAAGCAGATTGTTTGCCAGGCGATGGGATGATGACACCGTTTTCAAGAATCAGGCTTTGATTGCAGCATTGTCAAGCTTTGTAATGCTGTTGTTTGCCGGTGTCTTCCTTGTAGATTCTCACATCTGTTTTTCTTTGGTTTTGGCAACCCTGTGCTACACTGTATGGCTGTGTATGGCTGTGTATGAATGTGTCCAGATTTGTGGCTTTCATGTGCAGGCGAGGACTGCTCCAAAAGTGAAGCAGAGATACATCAACGATGCCGTTTTTCCCTGAGCTCTGTTGACAATGTCAGACCTTCACATTTAAGAGATGCATGTATGTCTGAATTGTAGTACAAACACGTACCTGGGAGTATATAAACATGTGAATGAACACAAGGGCTCGCTTTTTTGACTCCTCCTGTTACCATTACACGTGACTCGCTTCAGGTTCGAAGCGATTTCCACAAGAAATTTCTCAGTGCGGGCCTTTGATCTTATAGACCTTATAGATGCTTATAGACCTTAGATGGTAAGATATATGGATTAGCATAATTTGTGGTTTCTATCGGGTCAAAACATTTTCTGACACTCTCTTGCCTTACGCCCTAAGCATCAGATGTAGTCGAGAGTCGATATTGAATATGAGTGGAACCAAATGATTAGTTCGAGCGCTCCTTCAAGGAAGCTCCCCTCAGGCGGGGGAGCTTCCTTGAAGAAGCGTGAGCTAACCTGCGTCCATATGTAGTAGCTTAAGTAGCTAAGAGCTTACTCCCTTACTTAATTGAGTAGGCACCTACTCAATTAAGTCAGGGACGGGCTTGAACAAAACAGAAACACAGGGAGTCGATTTTGTTTACCTTCTGGTGAGGCAAATATGTCTGGGTGGACGGGGTGGCTCACTGAGTGCGTTTCATCTGCCAATGACAATCGGGCGGTTTCGCCTTCGCCGGGCGAAAGAAGATGCGCGGAAGAACGCGCCGCAAAATGACGCAAAGGACTCCAATTATGACTCGTGATTTGACACGGCAAGAGTTTGTGTGCAGAGGTTGAGACAACGAGCTGTCAGACAGCTGTCACATCCCTTTTCCGGATGCTCCGCTATGGCTCAGTTGTTTTCTTCATTCCAGGGTCAGACATTCCTACAGCCTTATGCGCTCCGTGCACCTGGGCTAGGCCATTCAATTTCAATTCTTGCATGTCGTTCAAGCCCATGCGCATCCACTTCCTGACTTATTCATCGTTGCATGCAATTGGTCAATTTCTTAGCGTTTCTTTTTCTTTCCTTGTTTCCTCGTTTTCTTGACTCTATGCTTGTACGTCGGCGTGCTGCTTACCTGGTGCTCGGTCTGCTTGTGTCTCCACCTTCATTCTTGTGTGCTTTTTGTATTTCTTTCTCGCTCCACCTTGCTCTTCGACCCCGCAACCAAGACATGGTCAAATCCCACGACTGGAAATGCGGTTCACAGTCAGTTTGTGCGTTGCGCTTCTTGTTACAACCGGTGTCCGTGGTCAAATTTGGTTGCCGATAGGGTGTTCTTCATGCTTTTGATTGTGCTGTCTCCCACTTGCCTTCCTTGCTACACGTCTCTTTGTCAGCTTTCCAAGGTGACTTGCAATCTCTCTACTTAGAGCCTCTCTCGACATGTCTCCTCACTTCAAACGCTTGAAACCTCTTTGTGTCTTCTTAGTTTCTTGCTTCTTTGTTTCTACATATTTTTTTTGACCTTTGACCTTCAATTGGATGTCTCTATCAAAACCTGATGCCCCCCAGCACTAAAGAATTTCCTCCCTGCTAGTATAGTGTGCTCGCCTCAACAACATGCTTCGCACTTGCAGTTGGATCAGTTTAAGCTCCTTGCCCGCGTTTTGGTCGTTTGGGGTATTCACCCCAAAGAAGTTTGCTGTTGAGTTTCTGGATTCTTTGTGCCGTCTATCTGGTGTCCTCGTCTCCCACTTCTCTGCTCTCACGTGCTCGCTGGATCCTCCGACTTGACCGTGTTTCTTCATTCAGACGGTCCAACATTTGAGATGTCCTCGTATAAGAAACTACATGCTTTGCTTTGGTGGGTTGTATTGAAAGTTTAAAGCTTTGCCTTTGCCTTGCTAGGGAATGTCGCACACCCTGGTTTTCGCCTACGGGGACAAACGAGCCAAGATCTCGGAGCACATGGACACGAGACACGAGTGCTTTTAACACAACTAGTAACAAGTGCATCGCTACTAGTAGCTTCTTGTTACTTGTATGTATCAATGCACTTGTTGCTAGTAGCGATGCACTTGTTACTAAATGCATCTAAATGCTATTTGCCATGAGGCTACTGATGATATTTGCATACAGACCAGTATCTTACTCGACTAATCTTTTCAACGATTCGTTGAGCCTTCACTTCTTCGTTCGTTTGTCCTCTTCGCCTTACAGGTCATCTCTAGAGGCTCCGGGGCGGAGGCAAGTTCTCATCTCTTGGCACAGTGGATTCTCTGGATGGATTTCAGCACTTGGAGGCCGTTCGCTCCATCAAGAACCTGGAAGCATTCTTTCAGGAGCCAAAATACCGTTCCCAGTATCCAGACACTATCCAGCATCGCTGTGGATGTCTGTAGGATGCCGAAGAGAAGCTTGGTTTGCCTCCAGGCCGTGCAGGGTTTGTCAATGACTGACAAAAAGACCATTTCATTGCCGTAGCTTCGATTTCACTTGGTCTCAGGCTCCTATGACTTCTACGATACCTTCGGAAAGATTTCTAGCCCAGCGGACCGTAAACAACACATTTGCAAGATGCTGCCATGATTCTTCTAAGATTCCCCAAGAATTCTGTCAAGGCTTTGGCCTTGACAGATAGGCTTGACATATAGATAGGCAGCGACAGTGTCCTTCAAGTCCTTGTGTCGAGCAAGGACTTGCAGCGAGCATTGACCAATGCGGGCTCGGAGGAGTGCATCATTGAGGCGCCCAATCCAGTGAGGCATTTCTCACTGGTTTCTCTATGTTTCTCCTGGATCGACATCAGCGTAATGAACCAAACAAACGGAGCACACGTGAAAACCATGGTGTCTTCAACTCACAGGTGCGGGAGCATTTGCACTTCATTCGCATTCGTGGGCTGGAGGATCGGCGGTTCCACGATGTTTGTTTCCGACAAGCTGTGCATTTGCTACTTAGGTCTGGCATGCCACCTTTCAAGCAATCTTTAATCCATAGAGGCCTACAGTGTTAGTAATTCGAAACATCTAAGGTGGTCAGCTTCCTATAGCTTCCTTGAAGAAGCCTGAGCTTTCCTGCACAGGTAGTAGCGGCCGAACGGATCTTGTTAGTAGCTACCCCCTACGGGCTACCGCCCAAAAGAAAAGGAAGAAACGAACGTTTTTTTTCACTTGATGTGTTTTTGTAGAAGTGCTTAAAAGGCCGTAGTTCTGGAATGCCCTCGTTCAGCAAGATTGAGGCTATACCTTTCTTCTTTAGACATGTTTTCTTTTCTTCTTTGGATTTGTTTTGCTTGCTCCAAATCGTGCCTTGCGAGGCTGAAAACGCCAGCTTGACAGCACGGCTTGATGCCCTGGAGGCCAGTTCGTGTCTACATTGGCATATGCAGTGCAACCTGTTGGATTTGCATGGGGAATTCGCCCATGGACGGTGCGCAATTACCATAACATTACGTTGACATTCTCGACTTCATTTTTTCTGCTTGCTCTATCTTGCTCTTTCTTTTTTTACAGTCTCCTTTTCTTAATTTTGCTCAGTTTCGCTATCATAGGAAGCCTTATTTCGATATAACCTTATGTGTTCTTTCAGTATTTGAGAAGCCTTCTTGCCTTCGCTGTGCCTTTTGCAGATTGCACTCCGAGAAGCTGAGCGTCGTAGCGACATGAAGCTGGAGGTGCATTTGAGCTCTGGTGAAGTTTAAGTCCCTCATGTATTTGCCAAACATCTTTGCACAAGGACTTTTCTTTAAGATAGGGTAGGAGTAGCCAGGCTGGATCAATAGTAGCAAGGAGCTACTTGCAGATGGTCTTTCACATTATCGACACAGTTCCTAGATTCTAGATATTGAGGAAAATCGTTTGACACTTTCTTCCTTCCTCCTTTTAGCTGATCTGCGCGGTGGCTCCAAGATCTCTGTTGTACATATTCATCATCACGTCATGCTTGCACTATGAAGTAGCAGTATTTGAGTCATCCAGACTGTGCCAAGACATCAACAATAAGCAGTCGTGGTGGGAAGAAAAGACTATGCAATGTGCTGTGGCGTTCTTGCAGGTAGCTTCAGAAGAGCTGGCCAAGATGATCAAGAAGGCTTTTCGAGCCGAGCGTACACCGTCAAGAGCACACACTGGTCCGCTCACTTGCACCCACAAATACAACCCAGTCAACGATGATATGATGCACCAAGATGCACTCTTGGATGTCTTCGAACATTTCTTGCATCATCAACCAGTCATCAATGTTCAACCAGGGCCTATTTTGAGCCTCAAGAAATACCCGATTCTAGAGCAAGGAAGGGCTCTCGCCAAGCTGAAGCTGTCCCGCTTCCTAAGTAATGCTGATGTGTAGCACGTTGGAACCTTCTGTGGGGGAATGATGGTACGCAATGATGGTATGCAATTGTGCTTTCTTTGGCAAACGAGCATGTTGACCCTTCAGTTTTCCTGCTGCTTCGTTGGCTCAAGACCAGCTTGAAGGGCACCACCATGAGGCACGGGAGGGGAATTGAGCAAGGTCCATCATTGAAGGTTGTCCGGTTATCCATGGTCGATCGATCGTGCAAATATTTTCCACATGGATTTGGCAGGATCGTTTTTACAAACCGGACCATAATATATATATATATAAGTATAAGTCATGCGAGGCTTGCTTTCTTTAGCCCGGCTTGCTTTTGAGCTGCGGGCATCGTCACTTGCATTGCTTGACCAAACATGCTCTGCGGATCGGTGAGGTCTAACTGGGAGAAATGGCGATCGAGGCGCGTGTGCGAAGCTACGAACGATCGCGTGTGCGATGAACAAGAAGCTGCGAACGTAAGTAACAAAGGGCGTCAAACCTTTTCTTCTTGGCTCTTTCACCTTTCTCCTGGACACTTTGTCGCGGTAGTCGCTGGTGCTTGTTTAAGACATCTTCTAGTCACTCTTGCGCAGTTTTGGTACATGCAACATCGAATGTGTAGCTCATGTTTTGTTTGAGCGCGGATTTACATGTAGGCACAAAAGGAAGCACAAGCAAATCTTGCCCATGCTGATATGCTCCAAGTCTGGAAGGAGCTGCAGTAAAGGGATTTTGCTGGGACACCTATGACTTGTTCTCTTATGCTACTAGGAGGACACTACTAGGAGCA